CTCTAGCGGCCAGTCGATGAATTACAGTTTAAGTCACTTCCTTGTTGGCCTCACGAGAGAGAGCGGGAGGTTGCCGCTTGGTCCCCACCAATGTCAAAAGCAAACCTACGCCCTTGCTGTAGGACACCAAGTCTTCTGAAGCGTTTCTTGAAATCTGAAATTAGATTTGAGAGCATGTAGCATATAAGTTGTATGGACTACATTAATGATACCTACTCACTAGGAATGTAACCAAGCATCCTGAGCCAGTTGAAAATCAATGAAAATATGTGACGATTCAAGTCGGATGAGACGTTAACCAAATCGCAATACAGTTGGTGGTGGGGTTTTATATGAATGTATCTCTGAGGGGAACTGACTGTCTTCAGAAAAGTTTAAATGGCATTTGCTTTTCATCTAGCCTCTGTATATATATATATATATATATATATATATATACTGTATATATTGTATTATTCATGTATTTATTTGATTTGGGATTTAAAATTTCACTTTATTTTTCTTATTTGACATAAAAGATTTTTCATCAAGACATGTGCAGCACTTTGCCTGAGAAATAACAAAAGGGCACTTTTTTATTTATAATTTGCCTTAAATCTCATTTTTGTTTTAAAAAAAATGGTGAGAAAACCATGTCATGAAACCAGTTCAGTGAATTATTACATCCCCACTGTATGCTTTCACTGAGAAAAAGCAGCATAAATTTTCATCAAAACAAATTATTTAGCATTCCACAAAAATATGAAAATTACACAGGCTTGGAACAACATGACTGTGAATAAATGATGATAGAATTTTCATTTTTGGGTGAAGTATTGCTTGAACTTCTAGCAGCAACACTTTACATGACTAAACTTCTCAGCTTAGTTTATTAATTTATCTTCTGTTTGTTTTGCAGAGATCCCAACAAACCAGTGCCTCAGGATACCAAGTTCATCCATACTAAAGCCAATCGCTTCGAAGAGGTAGCCTGGTCCAAATACAATCCGCAAGACCAGCTGTACCTGCACATCGGCCTCAAGCCACGAGTCCGTGATCACTACCGCGCCACTAAAGTGGCGTTCTGGAAGCACCTGGTCCCTCATCTGTACAACCTACATGATATGTTCCACTACACCTCCACCACGACCAAAGTGCCACCACCCGAGACGACTCAGAACTCCCTGTCCACCAAACGTCCCAACAGTAAAGCCTGGCCGTTCAACACCAAGCGGCCTCCGATGTCTCCGGACTACAACAGCGAGAGTGGGAAGGAGCAATGGAACGGAGAAGAGGAACCAGGCCCTCTGGTGGTGGAGAACCCACGGGATTACTCCACCGAGCTGAGCGTAACCATTGCAGTGGGAGCTTCTCTGCTGTTCCTCAATGTTCTGGCGTTTGCTGCTCTGTACTACCGCAAGGATAAGCGCCGGCAAGAACAGCACCCGCAACCCAGCCCACCACGAGCCACCACCACCAATGACGTGAACCGGCACGCCCCTGAAGAAGAGATCATGTCCCTGCAGGTGACCCAGACGCACCACGAGTGCGACTCAGGGCCGCCCGGTGACCCGTTACGGCTCGCTTCTCTTCCCGACTACACGCTGACTCTGCGGCGCTCGCCTGACGATATCCCACTCATGACGCCGAACACCATAACCATGATCCCCAACTCGTTGGTGGGCATGCCCAACCTACATCCCTACAACACCTTCACGGCTGGCTTCAACTCCACCGGCCTGCCACACTCCCACTCCACCACGCGTGTATAGCTTTATGGCGATCCGACAAAGGGAGGGATGTGGGGAAAGCCTTTGGTTTTAATGAAAACGTTGAAGTGAGAGGAAGGGGATCAGGACGATGACGGAAACAAAATGATTTGAATAGACTTTTGCAAAAAGCAGTGACACGTTCTTTCCAGATGTCAAGTTGTGCAAACCTGCCAAAACAGAACTGCTCTCTTTCCTTTGAAAAGGGACGAGGGTTTCAAGCAGTATTTTTTCTAATCATCGTTTTAAAAAAAAACTAAAAAAAAACGCCTTTTTATGCAGAATCGGGCGAATCACTTTTTTCTTGAATAAATAACAAAAAAACAAAGGAAAGTGCATTTTATTTCCCATCACAGTCTTTTGTGGGAAACATGTTTCAAAACAGTGGCCTCTAAGGTGACATCTGCATAATATTGTTTGCTTTGCTTTTCAATTTCTTTTCAATGCCTTATAAAGAGCTGTTTTTTTTGCCTCTTAATTTGACGATCCTTTCCCTGAGATGTGTTTGTGTGGAACGTAGCGATCTGACTTGAGTGGTAGGAACCATGAGACAGACGACAAATATGGAAACTGGTGGATTGAAATGGTAACTGCAACTCGTTTTCCAGTTGCATAACCTCACATGCTTTTTTCTTGGTTCCACTGAAAATCTTTTGTTTGAAACTGTTTCATTGGACAAGACTGGAGATAAAGACTTTTAAAGTTACTGTAATTGTTTTGTTTAAAGAAAAGTGCATCTTTTACTACAAAAATTAGCTATCGGCTCCTGCGTCAAATTCCCATGAAATGCACACTTACACACAACGCTCAGAGCACTGTTTGACTGGTGTGCGTGTGTGAGAGGTTCTGAGTATGAATGGGAATGAGTTGTGTCTACGTGTGTGTGTGTGTGTGTGTGTGTGTGTGTGTGTGTGTGTGTGTGTGCGTTTGATTGCCTTTGCCATGTTTTCTGTTAAATATTTGTGTGATAGGGGTGGGGGGGCTTCTGCGTTGATTTTGTTCACCATAAATAGTGTTGTCATCTGTCTTTGCGAAATAGATCTTTTTGTTATTTTAAAAAAAGTTACATATGTCTAATTTTGCTTAAGAATTATTACAAAATAAATATATTATTTTACATGCAAGAGAAAACAATAGCTTAAGATTGAACTGAACTAACTGACATGATTCCATTGACTTTGTAAGCGTTCCTCTCGACTGGAGACAGTGGCCTCTTTACACTGAATAACCTGACTTCAGTGTAGACATGTGTTTCCTTAAATATATATATAAATATGGGCATACATACATATATGTATAGGGCTTTTATGAAGATTTTGCTCCCATTGACCTGAAAGTGTAAATGACCATTATTATCAATTATTAGGCTGAAAGCACCAATATTCAGAGGGCAGAGCAGTTCGTGTCTGTACAAGTTTTATCCTCTGCACCATAATCTGAGGCCACAACAAGTGTCTTTTTAATAGCTCTATATGTATATTTATGTATAAATATATTTAATATTTATTTATGTATACCAGATGTATACATGCTGATTGTGCCATGTGCCAAATTAAACCATAAAACTGGAGAAGAAAACGGTTTTCATAAAACTTTTTATTTTATTTTATTTATATCATTTTTTTATTTTTATACAACTCCATCACAGTTAAATGCATATTTCCTATCTGATTTATGATGCTTAATATATGAAGATTTTTAATGAAATTATGGGTGGAATTCAGGGTAATATGCTAAATCAGTCATCTGTACCATAGAGTCATTTTGCAGTATGATTAGCACAGAAACCTTGCTAAAATACCTCTTGAAAACTTCATTTTGCCAACATGTACAAAGTTAATGTACACACTTAATGATGAAGAGAGAGAGAGAGAGAGAAAGTCAAATTTCCAAAATTACATAATTAGTAAACCTGTTCAGCAAAGCATTTAAAGGCACAATATGTAAGATTTTTTTATTAAAATATCCAAAAACGACTAGAACAGTGTTATATATTTTGCTGCCTTGTGTATTTACATTATCCCAAATGTTTCGAAGAATGTTTAAATCCAGAGAAATAAGCAATTTTAACTAGTGACACGGAGCGTGTCCATAGTGTCACTGTGTCGCCTGTCAATGACGTCATAACCCCTCGATTTCTGGTTTTGTTTTGTAGAAAACATGGAAACAGCAAAGACGCTTTAATATGTTGTGCGTTTTAATAGACCGGTGACGAC